CCCAGACTTTGGGTCACCCTCCACTGCTTTTCCTGGCTACAAGCAGGGAGCTGGATGGGAAGTGAAGCAGCCAGGACATAAACTAGCACCCATACAGGATCCTCGTGCTTGCAAGGAAAGGATTAGCCAATGGAGCCATTGCACCAGGACCAGCAATTGAAAACTTTTGATGGCAAGAATCCTTGCATAGCTGTTCTTCCCGCAGATTATATGTTAATCATAGATAAGGAATAATAGAAACTTCATAATGGGGAAACTTGACAGACACCCACTTGAACTAAATAATTCCCCAAAACTAGAACAATGACATCCAGTGCCTCTCGACAGGAACACTGAGAACAACACAAGATCATTTTGCTGTTGCTTCCAAAAGTCCAGACTCTGAGTCTCATCACAAGGAGACATTAGATCCAACTGAGAAATGTTTTACAATGTAACTGGCCTATATTCTTCGGAAATGTGAAGACTATGAAGACAGATAAGCTGAGGCATTGTTCCAGATCACAGGATGCCAAAGAGACATGAAGAATAAATGAAATGTACTATCCTGTGTGATATCCTGGTCCAAAAAAAATGTTTGTAGGCCCACATCAAATTTGAGTGCTGAAAATAGTGATGCTTAATAGCAAATTGACTGATCTTGCACATTACACCATGGTTATGTAAATGAATGTCCTTGTAAAATATGCAACGGAGTATTTAGAAATAAAGGGGCATGAAGTCTACAATTTATTCCCAAGTAGTTCTGGAGAAAAGGGTAAAAAATAACACCACCCTTGATGTAAACGTAAATGAGTATGGGAGAAAACAAATAATGTACTACGTGGAGCCAAGAATCTGTTATCGAAGTTTCTTATATTACTCTGGCAACTTTTCTCTAAGATTGAAATTATGTCAAGAGGAAAGTCACCAAAAGATGCTTTCTAAATTATTCATGTGTGCAGATGGATGCAGTTAGCAGTTTGTTTATGTGAGTAGTGAAATGATCAACACGTATTCAAATCTGAAACCATAATTGTTTCCACATATCCCCTTCCATAAAATTTTACTGTTTCAATTCAGAGCTGGAATCAACTTATGTAATAACTCACATACACTATTCTCCTGCTGATGGGGATTCGGATTTAGGGCCTAGCGATTTCTTACATAATAACTGTATCAGGAGGACTTAATGCTACTACTGAGCCAAATGACTCAGAATTATTAAAGTGGAAGCAGCATTGTGGCATGGAGGGCAAAGCTGCTGCCTGCGCACCTGGCATCCTGTATGTCTATCAGTTTGTCTTTTTTTTTTTAAATTAAAGATTTATTTATTTTTATTGCAAAGGCAGATATACGGAGAGGAGGAGAGACAGAGAGAAAGATCTTTCGTCTGGTGATTCACTCCCCAAGTGGCCGCAACAGTTGGAGCTGAGCTGATCTGAAGCTAGGAGCCAGGAGCCTTGTCTGGGTCTCTCACAAGGGTGCAGGGTCCCAGAACAACTCTAGTTGACAAGAAGCGACTATATCTTGTAGCAACAGGCCAGTAGCAAATAGGAAAGGAATGGGACGCTTAGAAAAGCACAAATATTGAGACCCTCAGGATTCCTATTATATAAACCACTGGTTAGATAGGTGTGGGAAGCTAAAACCTCAGCAGGCAGCTGATGGGCTGGCACCTAGGGACTGTGAAAAAAGGCATCGACACCAGGCAATCCTAATCCACATGGACGATGGACCTGAAGTGGGCGCATCAGGTAGTATAAGCTTCTGATGCCAAACAATATGGAATGCAAATTTGCTTTTACACATGTGTACCCTTTTCCTTTTATTGGAAGGTCAGGTTTACAGAGAAAGGGATATACAGAGAAAAAGATCTTTCATCTGCTGGTTCACTGTCCAATTGACCACAACGGTCAGAGCTGAGCTGATCCGAAGCCAGTAGCTGGGAGCTTCTTCTGGATCCACCACATGGGTGCAGGGTCCCAAGGCTTTGGGCCGTCCTCCACTGCTTTCCCAGGCCACGAGCAGGGAGCTGGATGGGAAGTGGGGCCTTTGGGAAACAAACTGGTGCCCATGGGATCCTGACACATGCAAGGCAAGAACTTTAGCCACTAGTCTACAAAACCAGACCTCACATGTATATCTTAAGAGCCTGTTAAGTCAGACTGTCTGGTCCTAACCCTAATCCTTTCACTCCTAGGTTTAGATTCTTAGCAGTCTATGCAGCTTCTTAGAATTTCACCAGTAACTAAGGAACACTTGTGAAGTCGTTGTGCTGGGGCCTGAAACATAACACTTGATATTTGGGCTATACCTACAGTAAGCGCTAGATTCTTTTATGTATACTTGTAGTCATCATGCTATGTTCATATATTCATTTTTTCGTCTCTAGCTGTATTTCCAGCCCTGTCCTAGGGATTGTGGATCCTCAGAGGGGGATAACTTGAGATGCATGGAGATATCAGGACCCAGGTCTGAGGCTCTGCCACCATTAGCCCATCTGCAGGATCTGAGTGAGTTGCTAGCCAAGTCTGACCCTCTGCTGCCTCATTGTGTGCCTGGAAGACAGGTGGGCAGGGTGAGAGGGCCTTCCCCTGTGGGGGAAGATGACTCAGACCTGGCAGCAAGGTATTGTTCCCTGCTGGACGGCTGGTCTCTGAAGTCAGGTGCTTTGTTCCTTAATATACCTCAACCATCTATTTGTAGAGTTGGTGTTGGATCAGGACCAGTTTACTTACTTCAGCATTGGCCTGGGGTCTTTATTTCTGTTTGGTCACTGAACATAAATGTACTGTTCATTTATTTCTATAATCTTGATAAGAAAAAGTAAAATGTAAGACTTGGATCCTCAGCCTGTGAAATGGATGCATTCAGACTTGATGTTGTGTCTTACTCTGCCTATAGTGCTGGTGGCCCATTTGGGCACTGGCTTGAGTTGCAGTTGCTCCACTTGCAATCCAGATCTCTGATAATGGCCTAGGAAAGCAGAGAAAGATGACCCAAGGCCTTGGGCTCTTTGTACCTGCATGGGAGACCCAGAAGAAGCTCCTGGCTCCCAGCTTAGGGCCAGCCCAGTTCTGACTATTGTAGCCGTTTGGAAAGTGAATCAGTGGGTGGAAGATCCTTCTCTCCCTTTCTCTCTTTGTAAGTTTGTCTTTCAAATAATAAAAAAAATAATAAATCTTAAAAAAAGAGGACCCAGTATGATAGCGTAATGGCTAAACTCTTTGCCTTGAATGTATCGGCATCCCATATGGGCTCTGGTTCGTGATTTTCCTGCTCCACTTCCCACCCAGCTCCCTGCTTGTGGCCTGGGAAAGCAGTAGAGGACGGCCCAAAGCCTTGGGACCCTGCATGTGCACGAGAGACCTGGAAGAAGCTCCTGGCTTCAGATTGGTCTAGCACTGCCTACTTGGGGAGTAAACCAGCATTTGAAAGATCTTTCCTCCACTCTGTACATTTGACTTTCCAATAAAAATAAAAAATAAATCTTAAAAGAAAGAAACAAATACATTCATATCGCCCTGTGCAAGAGTGTTTTCAGTCGTGACAGACAACATGCTGGCAAGCTTGGGTGAGACTTGATGTCATTATTAGAAATATGCACTCTCTTTGGCAAGTTTGGGCTTTCCCTCCAACTCTTTGTTTGTGTCAGTTAATGGGAAGTGAGTCAGAGCATAGTCCCCAGCCCTGCCTCTCTCTGTTGACTCTAAAAGGGCACGGCTGATCTACAGTGCAGACCCAGGCTGCCAAGCTCCAGAGCGGGTGGGAAGAAACCGGGTGTGGATCTATTGCTTGGCACAGCCTTGGCAAGAGGTGGAGGGAGCAGCTTTGGGAACAGAGGGGGGAAGGCCCATTCTCCACACATGTACAGGTCTCCATCTCACCTGAATGTCCTTCTGCACGCTTGCCTTAGCGTTAATATGTGCTCTGTTTCTCTCTGTTAAGCAAAAGGATTCATTCCGCAATTTCTAAATTTGCCAGAAGTGGCATGTGCCATGTCCCAGATCTACCCTCCTAGATGCCAACTCTAGGAGATATCCCTGATCCTCTCAGCCTCCCTTCCTTCCCCTTCTGTTGCACACATCCACACCTCAGGCTAGGCTGGGGAGCTAGAACTAAAACAGAGAGGGAAGAAGAAGTCCGTGTTCTACTGCTATGGAGTGAGGCCACAGGAAATGATAATGCTAGAAAATACTAGAAGAAAGGATTTTGAAAGCTTTTCTCACAAATGCTAAAGGTGAAGTACTTACCCCAACCTTACACAACCACATGGTATGTACATTTATGGAAATATTGCAGGGCACTTTGTAAATATACACAATGCTTGTGTATCACTTAAAAATAAAGCTAAACTAAGAAACAAACAGCAAAACCTGCTTCTCTGGACAGTTCTTGCTTCCTGCAATTTCAACTACAGCAGCCAAGGACAGGATTGTGCTGGGGAGAGGCACTGCTGACCCGTGCTTCCTAAACATGACACAAATGACACCATTTTAGCTATTTGTACACCATTCATAAAAAAAATCAGAGACCACATATATACTCCTATGCCATGGTACTACCAAGAAAATTGTGGAAAATTGGTCTTAAAAAAATAGATGTATTTCAAGTTGAATCCCAGAATCACCTGGAGAGTGCATTATCCAGGAGTAGGAGTGGCCTAGAAGGGAAATAATGGGTTCCTCCTTCTTGGGTTACCACTCCCACTAGAGAGCACCAAAACCAGGACAGGGGCAGGGGTGGCTAGACAGAAAGGTATCCAATAACATGTGTGGGCTGGGTTGTGGAGCTGCTTGGATTGAACTAGGCTTCAATGCCCATGGACGCGTATAAGAGCTGAATGGGATGTGGGACAGACTGGACTAGTCTGCTGCACATACAGGCAAGCGCAGGGAACCAGGATGGGGGTGGGCCTGGTGGGGGTTATTTTGGGTTGCTTCAACTAGGCCCATTGGTTTATGTGAGCACTGAGTGTATGCTGGGCAGAATCAGGCTGGACTGTGACACCCATTGGTTCCAGTGGAAGTCAGGGTTGGAAACAGAACTGACCCAGCAATTGCAATCAACAGCTGATTGGGGCAATGGACTGTACCCGGCCCTGTACTTGCAAAAACACACCACAATCTGGTCTGGGGATCTCCCCAATCTAAATGCTGGACTCAGAACCCTAGCCATGAAAAGACAGAGGACAGAACAAGTCAATCAATCACCTCAACCATATGTTGGCAGAGAAAAACTGGGCAAACGGAGACTGTAAGATGGACTATGTCAATCAGTGGATTCTTTAGTGATACTTGGAATGGTGAGATTGGCAGCAATTCACAACTGTTCAACTATCAAAACCACTGGAGCAAGACCCTTGGAACATGCCCCACATCAGGGACCTGGGATGGGTGGGAGACTGGGTGGGGCTTTTCCCTTTATCTCCCCCATTATCCCAGATACAAGAAAAAAATTTGGAAATAATAGTCTTACCCACTTTCCTGTAGCCCTTGAACCCTTTTGCCCTAATTAGCTATGAAAAGATTGTCAAAAATAAAGAGAAAATGGAGTACAAAAAAGAGGAAACAACAACAACAAATATTTGAATGCAAAGATTTTGAATTCTGTGCACACAAGAGGGGACTTTGAAAAAGTTCTTTGGGGCCAGGCAGGATGGCCTAGTGGCTAAAGTCCTCACCTTGAAAGCACCGGGATCCCATATGGGCACTGGTTCTAATCCTTGCAGCCTCGCTTCCCATCCAGCTCTCTGCTTGTGGCCTGGGAAAGCAGTTGAGGACGGCCCAAAGCTTTGGGACCTTGCACCCGTGTGGGAGACTTGGAGGAAATTCCTGGCTCCTGGCTTTGGGCTGGCACAGTACCAGCCATTGCACTCACTTGGGGAGTGAATCATCAGATGGAGGATCTTCCTCTCTGTCTCTCTTTCTTTCTGTATAGCTGACTTTGTAATGAAACTAAAAATAAATCTTAAAAAAAAAAAACCGAAAAAGTTCTTTGGAAAATACATAGTGTGGGAAGAAAGGCATAGATTTCCAAATGTTTTTGCACCAAAATAAATGAATTCTATTTTCCATAAACTTTCTGAAATACATATAGTATGTTTAAATATATATATGTGTGTATGGCAAAGGCAAAATATTCTACAAGTCAGATCGGAAGAATGTAACTGAAGCATAAACTAATGGTTGCTTTTCCAGCACAAGAGAAGGAAGGCTGGCCACACGGTACTTGATGACAGAGCTGTTTGTGTGTCCTATTTTGATTCTTCTGTCAAAGGGACATCTGTGCTCCTAGGTTTATTGCGGCGCCACTCACAATATCCAGGAAATGAAAACAATATGAGCGTCCAACACCTGATAAATGGACAAAGAACATGTGGTCCACATACACAATGGAATATTACTCAGCCATAAGGGGAATGAAATCTTGTCATTTGCATCCTTGTGGATGGAATCAGAGAGTGCTAAGTTAAGCAATCTTAGCCAAGCACAGACAGACAGATGTCACAACATCTCATGTGTGGAGACTAAATATCCATACACAGATGATCTCATAGAAGTTAAAATTGTAATTGTGGTGACCAGAGGGGCAGGAGGGAAGTGAAGAGGCTGGACGCAGTGATCTCAGCCTTCGTCATCCTTTCCTGGTGCCGCTCCTTGCCCTGACCTTTCCCTTTAGTTGCCCCCCATTGCTCTGCTTCCTTTACACACTCTCATTGAATAAGTGTCCCCAGAGCGCCCTCTTACTCTGCCAGGGGTGTGAGACTCAGAGTTTCTCAGCCAAAGTCCACAAAGAGACTTGAAACCCAGCACTTGCAAATGCTCATCCAAAGGCTTTCCTAGACATAGTGACTTGAGCTTTCAAACAGATGGAGAACAGGAAGGGGAGGAATGCACACAAGATGCAAATGAGACCCAAGCCTGCAGAACACAGATGCTGAGCTCCTGTATTTAGAAACTGCCTATTGGCCAACTTCACCTGAATGTCCCACGGGCTCCTCCAACTTAACCTAGCTAAAGTTGAAACCTGATCCCCATGCAGGTCCCCATTTTTGTTTTCTTTCTTCCCTGTGGCATTACTGTTCACCCTGCTTCAAGCAAAAACCTTGGGCATTATTTCATTTACTAAGCTACTCCTGCCTCTTACACCCAACCAGTCATGGCTTACCCCTGGTCTTTAGTCCTTCAATGTCTGGAACCATTGCCACAGTTTCCTGTAGTTGTTACTCACTCAGTTCATGTTTCCATGATTACCCAAGGGCAATTTCACACAAGAATGTTTGGTCGGTTCCTTCCTCTGCTCACTCTCTGGGTGAGTGGAGACTCTGAGGTTGACAGTGTCAGCCAATGGACATTGGAAGGGATTCCTTATCCACAGATCAGTGAGGCTGACAGTGTTTCAGAGCTATCGCATCCACTTGGGCAGAACCCTTGGAGTATGTGCCACATTGGGACCCTGGATTGATACTGGTGTTTATTCCTCATGCCTGGGTACTGGGGTGGTTGGGAGGCTGGGTATGACTTCTTCCCCTATCTCCCTCCTCCACACAGAAACGAGAAGAAGAAACGGAAAGTTTGGAAACCATGATCACAACCACTTTTGTCCAACCCTGAATCTTCTCCACCCTGATCAACTATGTAAACACCATCTAAATTAAAACTGAAAGTAAAAAAAAAAAAAAATCCCCAATGATTCTCCATTGCTCACAGAAAAAGAAAAGAAAGAAAGAAAAAGAAAAAAATGAAGAAGTTCCATTGCTTTTCAGCACTCGGTGCGTTTGGTCAGCAACACAGAATCCTAATGGCTTCTGAAACATACTTCCCACACTGCTTTGCACCTGTTGCTTCTCTCCCTCCCTTTCCTTCTCCGCATGCAGTCCATCAGGCACACCTCCTCCCCCTCTAGGGCTGCCTCTTCTGTGATGCCTTGCCAATTCCACAGAGACAGACCAGGCTCCTGGGAACCCGCTTTTCGCTAGAGATTCCCCCACTTGGTGACCACTTCATGGCCCTGTTTGGCTACATTTTCATTTCATGCTGGAGTGAAGCTCTACATCCTTTCATGGTTGACACCCAGCAGTGACCTTGCTCTTCATGCAAGCAATCAAAGCTGGAGCAATGGAGGGAACAAAAGGGAAGGGAAGTCTGTGTGCTGAGGTCTGAGCCTCCTGGTCTCCCCATGGCACGGAGGTAGGAGAATTGCAAAGCTCACTCCATGCCTTGCACCAGCAGCATGGTTTCACCTTTCACCTCTGGGGCTGTGAGGTTTGAGCCACAGAACACTATGATATAGTGATCCTGTTCTGGGAGCTGTCTACTTTTCTAGGCTTCTTTTCAAATGCTTCCTCCTCAGAGGTTGGCACCATGCCAAGAAGTATGCAAATTCTCTGTCAATGTGAAGTAGAATTTCCTTTTGTTGTTAACAATCAGCTTATTGAATGATTGTCCAAATAATGACCTGGAGAGAGGTATCTTCTAACAATTCTTACAAAGATAGCTCACCGTGCTTCTGAGTACACACACCACAGGCTACTTCTGAGTAAACACACAGCAGTGCTCACTGCCGGCCAGTTGATGGTCGGGAAGATCCTGGGGCAGCAGCACTGGACCTGCCTGCGGTGCTGTGTGCCAGACACTGGGCAATGCCATCGCTGTAGACTGTATGTGGCTCATCATTCCAGGTCATGGCCACAGCTACAGAGTGGATCAGGGAGCTTGCTTGTTCTTGGCAGATCCTGGCTCAAGTCCAAATGATGAAGGGGCAGGCTGCTCTCACCTCCGGGGCGCACGTTGCCCTCCAACCCCGTTTCTGCCCTCCTTGCACTTTTCCTTCCGGGAAGATTTTTCTACTTTGTGCTCACCTCGCACAAGATCGTGCTTAACACACATACACAACCCCAATGTGGCTCCTGTTACTGTCTGTCCTTTCACATCCAGGATGTCAGGTAACTAGGCCCTGTCACTTGGTTACTACGTGGTGGAGCCCAAAGTTGAGCCCAAGCAGATGCTGGCTGTTCAAATCCTTTCCATTCATTTCAACAAAACTAGTGTTAAGGGCCTGGTGCGGTAGCCTAGTGGCAAAATCCTCACCTTGCATGTGCTGGGATTCCATATGGGCGCCGGTTCTAATCCTGGAGGCCCTGCTTCCCATCTGGCTTCCTGCTTGTGGCCTGGGAAAGCAGTTGAGGCCCAATGTCTTGGGATCCTGCACCTGCATGGGAGACTGGGAAGAGGCTCTGGCTCTGGGCTCCTGGCTTCAGATCAGCTCAGATCCATTGCGGCCACTTGGGAAGTGAATCAATGGACGGAAGATCTTCCTCTCTGTCTCTTCTCTCTGTATATCTGACTTTCCAATAAAAAAATAAATAAATCCTTAAACAACAATAACAACAGCAACAGCAACACCAATGACAAAACTAGTGCGGTGCTCCTTGAGCTTAGATGGGATTGGGTCCTGATAAACCCACCTCAAGCTGAAAGTTGCATAGGTGGAAAAACATGAAGTCCACTCTCCCTAGCAGGCATCAGAGCTTAGCAACACGGCGCCCTCTCCCCCCAGAGGCCTCATTTTCCCCCTCGTGACTGTGACCTTGAGTTGTCCCTGAAGCCCCATTCCCTGTCACGGCCTAACATTGCCAGAGAGGACCAGACCACACAGTGCTAGCCCAGGACAAAATTTCAGCTCAACACTGCAGTCTCCACTAGCTGTGTGTTGTTACGCACCATCTGGAAGGTGATGAAACCACTGTAAGCCAGGGCTGCTTGGGGCAATACATGATGTGAACAACCTGGATTAACAGCAAGTGGTGAGGCCAAGGAAGAGGTCAGGGGCTACTTGGCTACTTGGTGGGTCTTGTTTAAGTCTGCTGCAAAGGGTTCCCCAGACCCGGAAGGGTTAGTGCCGGTGAGCATGGTACAGGTGGGACATGCAGAGGTTAGGAGCCTCTGAGCACCCTGTAGCCTCTCATGATGGGGCAGGCAGGGCCAGCAGCACTAAACATGCTTGGAGTCCAGTTCTGAACTAGCCTGCACATGGTGTGCAGCTTCCTCTGCCTTGAGGGGCCCAGCAGAACACTGTGGGCAGGCAGAGAGACTTCAGTGTCTCAGTAGCTATGTTTGATGCGGATCCTCATCCCTGCATACCTTGGGTGGCTTGTGAGCAAACAAGCCAATGAACAGTAATTGGTCCTGTATCAAATTCTCCAAAAACATTCTTACAGGAGCTGGGTTCACATTTCAACCCCCTGCCATATCCGGGCCTCTTTCCTTGGGTCTCTGCTCAATCTGGCCAGCTCCCGGCACTGGTGATGGAGTCGCTCTCTGCCAGGTTCTCCTGGCCCCACTTCTCTTCATGCTCTTGAGCACTGCTCTGGCCCCAGTCACCCCTCATCGTGCCTTTTCCTGTAGATCCAGACATTCCACACCAAACGCAATGAGAGCTTCCAAACCTGTATCTGCAGCCTCACCCTCTCATCCAAATGGCGCTTTCATTTCCACTTGCCACCTGGGCGTTATGCATGATTCACTCCTCGGTTACAAACAGCAGATACTGAAAAGCGTTGTTAAGTTGCTCCTATGCTCCAAGCAATTAACTGAAAGGTTAAGCAAATAATAAGGGGCTGGTGTGGTGGCATAGTGGGTAAAGCCACCACATACAATACTGCCATCTCATGCAGGCTTCTAGCTGCTCTGCTTCCCATCTGGCTCCCTGCCAATGATCTGGGCAATGCAACAGAAAATGGCCCTCATGCCTGGACCCCTGCTACTCACATGGGAGACCCAGAAGAAATTCCTGGCTTCTAGCTTTAGTATGACTCAGGCCTGGCTGTTCCAGCCATCTGGTAAGTGACCCAGTGATGGAAGATCTGTCTCTCCTTTTCTCTGTAACTCTGACTTTAAAATAAATAAATCTTAGGGGAAAAAAAAAGAGCAACAAAAAACCAAACGCGACACATTGGACCCCATACCTGCTATGATTCATCTAGAACTTGTTATACTGCCACCAGACTCGAGAAAGCAATGATCGTTGAAAAGATACACAACTTGGAGACAGGGTGCCTGGATTCAATTTCTGCCTCCAGCTGCAGATCCCAGCTTCCTACTAATGTAACGAAGCTTAGAGACAGCTGCTGATGGCTCAGGTACTCTGGTCCCTGCCAACTACTTGGGAGAACTGGATTGGGTTCTGGGCTGCCAGCTTTGGCCTTGCCCACCTATAACTGTTGTGGACACTTAGGGAGTGAGCCAGAGAACGTTTTCTGTCTCTCTGCCTCTCACATTAATAAACTTAAATAACCACACAATGTTTATGATTTGCTATTTCACTTCTAGGAGTTTGCCTCATAGAAATACTAGCCCAAGTCCTGAATACACATGTCCAAACATATTCATGTATAGCAACAATAAAGGAAAAAATCTGTAGGGGAAATGGTGAATTATGGCATATTTACTCTATGGAAGCAGTATGTACTCATTGCAGGAATGAGGCACATGTGTAAGAATAGTTACAAAAAAGATTTTGTGCAAAATACGTGTAGGGAAAAAAAAGCACAAGGTTTTTTTGCATCGTCATCTCATTTTGGGGTATATGAAGACATTTAAAAATTTTCATGGAAAATGAGATTAAAATATAAATCCATTTGGTTCCAAAAGTTTTAAAATCCTTGCATATGTGTGGCCTTCAAGACGTGCACAGAAAATGCATATTCTAGAAGATAATCTTCCTGGATTTCAAAAATTTTTTTCTACACCAAACTCATCTTTTAATTTCATTTTGCTACATACTTCTGGAAGCATCAGTGTATTAGGAAGAAAGTATGCATAGGAATATAAAGCAAAGCTTAGACCACGATAACTGACATAGCATCTTGGGACCAAACTGAGTATAAGAGACAGGGAAGAGATGCCAGGATCTCCTTTGAAATGGCACTGTATGCAAACACCTGTGTCCAGGACACAACACACCCCCATCCTTGGGATAGATGCTCAGATCTGTACATAGAAGGATATAAGATGACATACTATTCACATATAACAGACACACATCTTTATACATGCTTTAAGTCATCACTAGATTATTAAAAATATATAACACAATGTAAATACTACGTAAAAAAAATAGTTATACTGCGGTGGGCATTTGGTGTAGCAGTAAGAAGCTGCTTAGGTCATCCCATTCTGTGTCCAAGTGCCTGGGGTGAAGTTCTGGTACCACTTCTGACTTCAGCTCTCTGCAATGGATCACAGAGGCAGCAGGTGATGGCTCATGAACTTGGGTCTCTGCCACCCACATGGGAGACCTGGATTGAGTTCTGGGCTCCTGGCTTCACCCTGGCCCAGTTTTGGCTGTTATACTCTTTTTTTTTGGGGGGGGGGAGTGAACCAGAGGATGGAAGATCTTTGTTTCTTGCAAATAGAATAAAAACATATACTTGTTCTATTATACTATTTAGGGGATAAGAACAAGGAAAAAATGCATATGGTTAGCACACGTTTTTTCTCCTGAATATTTTCTTTGTTTTTAAAGATTCATTTACTTATTTGACAGTCAGAGTTACAGAGAGAGGGAGAGAAAGAAACCTTCCAGCAGCTGGCTCACTCCCCAGGTGCTTAAAGTGGCCAGGGCTGGGCCAGGCTAAAGACAGGAACCAGGAGCTTCTTCCAGGTCTCCCATATGATTGTAGGGGCCCAAGGACTTGGGCCACAATTGGCTACTTTTCCCAGGCAGCAAGGAGCTGAATCAGAAGTAAAACAGTTGGGACACAAATCAGCGCCCATAAAGCTACTGGCATTGTGGCGGCAGTTACACCACAGTGCTGGTCCCCATTCCTGAATATTTTCAGCTTGTGGTTGGAGTCTGAAGGTGTGGAACCCACAGCCACCCTCACTGGAAAGTATTGGCTCCAAAGAGGTCTCATGAGGGCGTCTGCACCCCAAGATCCCTGAGAAGCTACTGGAAGGTTTGGGTGCTGAAAAACAGGTGGGCACTAGGGCCTGCCATGGAAGGATTTTCCTGGCTGCGTCCAGAGCAACTGCCGGGATCAGGGACAGGAGAGATGGGGCCACTCAAGATAATCCGCCGCAACGTAGAGATTAGCAGTTTAGTGGTATAGGCAGGGTAAAATGTGGGGGTGAGACAGGGGTTTTCAAACCAAGAAATGTTGAAGAAAGTTTCATTTTTGGCTGTGTCCCTCAGAAGCCACACTAGAGATAGAACCATGCATCAACAGGAAATTAGATATCAGAATGCCCAGACTGGATTGTCGGAGCTGATCAACAGCTCCCTCCCTCCCAGCAATGCTGGTTCCGTGAGCCCAGTGTCCATGGTAACCCCCAAACCAGGCAGATCATGAGGAACAAACATGCAGAGAGGGTCTGGGGGCTGAGTCACACACAGAAAACAGGAAACAGGATTGCCAAGTTAAAACGTTTTTCCTGTTTTCAGGAAAGGAAATCATGCTGTGTGCACCCACCGTTTCAGCTGCAGATGGTCTCTACGTGGTCTGGTGCCTCCTCTCTGCTGTGGTCTCTGCTAGGCCTGCCACAGGATCACTCCCCAGCTCTGGACCAGAATGCATTAAGTCCTAGGAGACCTGCCTGGGCATGGAGAAAACCACTTGAAAGGATTGGTTTGTTTTCATATCTTGCTCTGTCCTGCCCACTCTCAACTATTCCACCCCGGGCATATCCCAGAATGATAAGCAAGATGAGTTTGTAAACATTCTCAGAGGGCCTGATGTGATGGCTCAGTTAGATAATCCCCCGTCTGCAAGCGCCAGCACTGGCATCCCATGTGAATGCTAGTTCATGTCTCCGCTGCTCCACTTCCCATCCAGCTCTTGACCTAGGAAGGCAGTGGAGGATGGAGCAAGTCCTTGGGACCACGCACACCCTTGTGGGAGACCTAGAAGAGGTTTCTGGCTCCTGGCTCCTGGTTGTGGATAGAATTGGCTCAGTTCTGGCTGTTGCAGCCTCTTGGGGAGTGAACCAGCAGTGGTAGAAGATCTTTATCTTCCTCTCGCTGTAAAATCTCATTTGCCTTTCCACAGGAAATAAAATAAATTAAAAAAATAACACTCCCCCCCCAAAGAAATAACAACCCACGATGCCCCTCTCTCTCTCACTCCCAGCTCTGCAGCTCCAGCTCTCTGGTGCATGCCTGAGAAGGCCCACAGCTGCAGCTCTTCCCCTATGAAAAGCCTTCAGTGGCTTCTAACCCCAGGCCAAGAACCCCTGCAAGTGGGTACTGGTGGTCCACTTGCGGCCCCACTCCTTGCAGATTTAACAGTAAAGAATAGGCAACTACGCTGGCACACTGGTGTAGTTAATGGAATTGGCATTTACTAGGCCCAGAATGCCTGTCAGCTATTGGCTGCTTTTCTCCCAGCAGTGCAACACTTGCCTGGATACAAGGCAGCCGAAGCAGCTGCCTACAGTTGGAGTCTTACTGTGACTTAAATCAAGGATGAACTGCCTTATTTTTGATCATGCCAGGGGCTCTGCTGACAATCTGGTGAAATCTGGAGCCCCCTTTTCAGAAGAATGCTTTTAAATGCATATGATAAAATATGTACGACTACCAACTTGTATTAAAATGTAATTGGAGAGGTACGAACTGTGAGAGTACTGTTAAGAAGGTCCTTGCTGCTATGTTCAATAATAGACTAGAATGGCAAATAATTGCCATTGTTGCAAAGCAGTTCACAGGAATGATCTCAGATACTTGGAACAACTGAAACAGACGATACGTGTGATTTCAGTAAAATCACAGCTGCTGCAGTACCAGCTACTTTGTTCACGAGTGAATGAAATACAGCCTTTGAGCGGAAGTGAGTAACCGCAGAACATTCTTCCACATCCAAGTTCAATACTGCTTGACTCTCAGTCACAGGGAGACTGATGCGTGTGTAGATGAAGAACAAGGTTCCAGAACTCAGATCTGGGGCATATTGGCCTCAGGAGGTTGAACAAAAGAGACTGAAACAACATGTGGGTGAGGCAGGCCAGCCAGCATAGGGAGGATTCCGGAAGCCAGAACAAGAGAGAACCCAGAGATTTGCTCTATCTACCCTCTCTCTCCCCAGGGAGCACCACGCATACTACCTAGGTTCCTCTCTCTGGAGTGTTTCATTCATTCATTCACGTATTCAGTGGGTATTTCCAACCCTAATATTACACCAAACAGGCATATCCTGGTGCTGAGAACATAGCTATGTGACCACGTGCTCCAAGCCAGGTGCTTGGTAGTCACTATCTGAATCCTCACGGCAGTCCCATCACCTCTGCAGTAGTGCTACCTCTCAGCAGATGGCATCCAGGCAGGAAAGGGTTAAAGGCTGGGGACTGAATATGGACTTGGCTCGGAGGTCTACCTCTTCACCACTCTGCTACAAGCAAGACCAAGGCCTGGTGCAGACTGGAGAGCGAGAGAAAGAGAGAGGTCTTCCATCTGCGGGTCTCCCCACATGGCTTCAAAGGCTGAGGCTGGGCCAAGTCAAAGCTGGGAGCTAGCAGCTCTATTTTCTTGACTGGCAGGGACCTAGGCACTTGAGCCATCACCTACTATTTTCCCAGGTGTGCCAGCTGGGAGCTGGATCAGAAATGGAGCACGGCATGGGCAATCACTCCCACTGAGAGCACCAAAACCAGGATAGGGGCAGGGGTGGCTAGACAGAAACGCACCTGTCAGCATGTGTGTGGGTGGATAGTAGGTTGATTGGATTGGACTTGGCTTCAATGCCCACTGACAAGTACGAGATCTGAATGGGATGAGGGACAGACTGGACTAGTCTGTGGTACATACTGGCATGCATGGGAACCAGGGTAGGGAGCAGGCCTAGTGTGGGTTATGGGGAGTCACCCCAACTAGGCTGCAACTCCCAGTGGTTTGTGCAAGGACCTAGTATGAAGTGGGCAGGATCGAGCTGGACTACAACACCCATTGGTTCAAGTGGAAGACAGGGCTGGAAAGAGATCTGATCTAGCAATTGCAACGACCAGCATGAGCATAAGCTGATTGGGGCAACAAATGGTGCCGGACCCTGTACTGGCAAACTCACACAAGAATCAGGTCTGGGATCATCTTAGACAAAGTTTCTTTGGAGATCCCTCCAACTGAACTGCCTATCTCAGAACCCCAACCATGAAGAGACTGTGTCAGCCAGTGGATTCTGAATAGGTTTCATTGTGCTTGTAACAGTGAGACTGGCAGCAATTCAGAACTGTTGCACTATCGAGACTGCTTGAGCAGGACCCTCGGAGCATGCCTCACATCAGAGACCTGGGATGTGTTGGAGGCTGGGTGGGGCTTTTCTCTTTGTTTCTCCCCTGATTCCAGATACAGGGGAAAAAATGATATTAATGTAGAAACAATGGTATTACCCACTTTCACCCTGTAGCCCTTGACCCTTTGTACCCTAATCAACTAAGTAAGATTATTAAAAAAAAAAAAAACATTAAAAAAAAAAGCAATGGAGCACGGGGGCCCGGCGCGATGGCCTAGAGGCTAAAGTCTTCACCTTGAATGTGCCACGATCCCATATGGGCACTGCTTCTAATCCTGGCAGCTCTACTTCCCAACCAGCTCCCTGCTTGTGGCCTGGGAAAGCAATTGGGGATGACCCAAAACCTTGGGACCCAGTACCCATGTGGGAGACCTGCAGGAAGTTCCTGGCTCCTGGTTTCAAATAGGTACAGCACCGGCTGTTGTGGTTACTTGGGAAGTGAATCATTGGACGGAAGATCTTCCTCTCTGTCTTTGTCTCTTCTTTGTACATCTGGCTTTGCAATAAAAATAAGATAAATCTTAAAAAAAAAAAAAAAAGAAAAAAGAAACGGAGCAACTGGACCCTGAACTTGTACCCCAACAAGGGATTTTGGCATTGCCACAGTCCTGTACCCTCTCCCTCAAAGCTGTTTCTATTAAAAATGAAGTATTTCCAGAATTGCGTGTCATTCTTGTGCAGAGGCCATGCTAAAAGCATTTACAATTTTTATTTTAGTTCTTCGAAAGTTAGACAGAAATACACATATATGGAGATAGAAAGACAGACTGTTAGAGATATATTAACATAAGAGGCATAACATTAACATAACAGAACTGAATGTTTATTATTGTAGCAGGGCAGCCATCGTCTTGCAGGATAATGCGCCAAAACAAAGAAAGTGAGAGTTTTTATACTTCTACAAAAACATAGTGCAAGTGGTGGGAAAGCAGGTGCACAGAGCACAGATTAGCTGAGTTCCCACAAGGTCAGAGTAGCTCATAAGAGTTGCAAGCCAAGGGTGAGTAAGTAGCTCTCCTGTGGGAAGAAAACAATCAGGCAACACGCCAAGAAGCAACAAACTATCAGACTCTGGGGTCAGGTGCTTCCAGGACTCCAGGCTTATGTACAGTCTTGCATGTATGTGAAGTGTCCTCTGCTTCATGGCTCTCTTGGTATGTCTTCCAGGCATCCGCATCAATAGACATGGAGAAATCTGTCTTCTGCCCCTCTCTCCAAATGCCCACTGCTACTGGGGTGGGCCTGTGTCCAAGCTAGGAGCTAGGACCTCCATTTGGCTCTGCGACCTGGGTGGAGGGGTTCCAACCACCGGGGCCGTCCCTTGCTGCCTCCCAGGGCACATATGATCAGAACTTCAGCCTTCTAATAGGCGGGGTGGGGCTCTTAACCACTACATCAGGTGTCTGCTCCCGGTGTGTGTTTTGAAGTCATCACTCAGGCTGCTGAACTGAGAGCAGGCTGACTCAACCCATCTCTTTTCATTAGCTGCACCGCCAGGGCCACCTTCTGCTTTGGATTAACTCAAGCTCGCCTAATCAGTTCTAAATGCCAGCCCTGTCTGGCGTGGTTACTCATACTTCTTGCCTTGTACCAGCTTTCATTTATCTTTATTTTGACCCAAATCACTGAACTTTATCCTTGGAAGAGCTGGTGGATTCCAGTGAGGCCTTGCTGCTCTCCAAAAACTTCTCATTCTGATTTGTTATCATACTTCTGCTTCTTTGGAAAAATGAATTGCATGCATCTTTACATTTTTGAAATTTTTGTACACTTCCAGTCTGGCAGCTCTCACAGATGTTGGAAAAAAACAATGCTCTGACAGTGCAATATTATTTTATTGTATTTTGTTAACCCCTGTCACTCAAAACAGGAAGCTGGGTAGAATTCAGGTGGCTGGAAGAATAAAGTGGCACAGTGATTTACTTATGTCAGACTGGAGGAGGTCATTAGCATTTATTGAAATCAAATGTCAACACGGTAACTGATCTTTCCAGAACCTGGCCTGCATCAGGAGCCCGGAAAGGTGGCTACGGGATAGGCATAGTCCTGGAGACTGCTCTTGTTTCAATCACGGGAGATAACACAGCAGGGGGAAAAGATGCGTGTGGAAGAGAAAGCTTGCTCCTGCTCAGGACAGCCTGGCTGCCAAGCTTGCTGGGTGACTGACTCTCTGAGCTGACTCATGGTCCAATTCCTGAACTTGCCCTTGGTTCCCTCTGGTCTTCTGTTGAATTTGGAGACAGATTTGGGAGGGCAGGGAGCCCTGCAAGCTCTCTGGGATTCCCTTATCTCTGTCCTGTGTGGCCTTTACCTGTCTCCAGTTCCGTGAAGCCTGTTTGTCTCTGATGCGGGGGATGTGGACAGAAGGAGCGCCTTCAATGTGTTCTCATATCCTGCAAGGACAATTGCCGTGTACACATCAGCTACTGTTGCTCCCAGCCTGTGTGGTTCATTCGCTCCTCACATCTGCAGCCTGTTTCGACTCCACTTTCCAGATGGAAAAGCAAGTCTCCCCTCCCTCCTGACCAAGTTAGGTGAAAGGTCAAAGGGTGGAGCACCTCACCTCCAAGGACCTGGCTCCTGTGTTCTGATAGCGCCACTGTGATTTGCTCTCCTGCTGTCTTCTCCATTGGGTTATACACTTGAAATAAAAAGACATTGTCCCGTGTGTCTGTGATTCCTATAGCATCCGCCACAGCCCCTTGCACACAGCAGGTGCACAATAGCTGTGTGATGGAGTGGTAATAAGGACACCTGCCCACTTCCCCCGACCCAGAAGTATATGTTAGTAAGCACTGTCATGGAAATGAATAGAAGGCAGAAGAAAGAATTAAGGAGACATTCCTCTCTCTAATGTGTTCTGAGGGAGGAAGGTGATATTTCTGTAGCGGGTCTCTGGCTCCAGGGGGCTCCCTCAGGTCTCAGAGTTCTTTGCTGTGCATTCCTGGCTGCATGGGGTTGAAATCCAAATCCCCTTTTGTGGATTAGGGCACCCTGCATGCTGGCAAGTGATAGCAGCTTGGTTGCCTAGAGATGATGTGCCTTATTAATCTGGTATCAAGCTGGGCAAGCCTGACTGACATCCTGGTCTGGGAGAGACTGGCTGTCTACCAAGGGCTGGGAAAGGGCTGGAGAGTATTGTGTTATGGGTATGTAAGTGACATTAAGATGGCCATTTTATGGTAACGACTGTCCTAGAAAGTGTTAGAAATGTGTCTCTAGGGCTGGTATGGTGGCTCAACAGACTAATCCTCCACTTTGCAGTGCCAGCATCCCATAGGGGTGCTAGTTCTAGTTCTGTCTGCTTCACTTCCCATCCAGCTCCCTGTTTATTGCCTGAGAAAAGCAGTGGAAGATGGCCAAAGTCTTTGGCCCCTGTGCCTAGATGGAAGGCCCAGAAGAAACTTGTGGTTCCTGGCTTTGGATCAGCTCAGCTGCAATCACTGAAGCCACTTGGGGACAGAAGATCTATCCTTTTCTCTGTCTCAGTTTCTCTGTGTAAACCTGCCTTTCCAATAATAATAATAATAATAATAATAATAATAAAAAAATAGATCTTGAAAAAAGTAACGTAATTCCATATTAAAAATGATTTGTTTGTTTGATAGCCAGAGTGACAGAAAGAGGAGAGAGAGAATTTCCATATGCCAGGTGGCTGCAGCAGCCAGGTCTAGTTCAACCAAAGCCAAGGGGCAGAGGCCTAAGAACTTGGGTCATCTTCTGTTGCTTTCCCAGGTGCATTCTCAGGGCGCAGGATGTGAAATCAAGCAGGCAGGACTTGACCTAGTGCTCTGATGGGAGACGTTGCTGTTGTAGTTGGCAGCTGAGCCTGTTGTGCCACAACACTGGGCTCTTCATTTTGTTGATAGGTTTGATGCATTTTCATGTCCTTTTAGAAAATATCTTCCTTTGTTTTGTTTGCTTTAGAACTTTACAAAAAGGGTACCATCTTGGAGCTGGCACTTTGACTCGGCCAGCAAATCCTCTACCTCCAAGTGCCAGCATCCCATATGGGCCTTGGTTCATAACCCAGCTGCTCTATCTCCAATCCAGCTCTCTTATTATGGCCTGGAAAAGCAGTGGAGGGTGGCCTAATGCCTTAGGACCTTGAACCCATGTGAAAGACCTGGAAGAAACTTCTGGCCCCTGATCAGCTCAGCTTCAGCCATGTATCCTGCAAGGACAACATTTGGGAATGAACCAGCAGATGAAAGATCTTTCTATCTCTTCTCTCTGTAAATGTACCCTTCCAAAGGATATCATCTTGAATGTTTTTTCTCTGATATTTATTTTCTTTCTCAATATTGTTTTATAAGATTCTCTTTATTTGTGTTGAAACTGGTAGCTATGACTCACTCACTTTTTGCTCTATAGTATTTCATTATATCAATCTATCTTTCATTACTTATCTGGTCTTCTGCTAAAGGGCTATCATTTTTTTAAAAAAGATTTATTTATTTTCGCTTGAAAGGCAGATTCACAGAGCGGGGGGCGGGGAGGTGGGAAGAGAAAGAAAGAGAGAGAGAGACAGAGAGAGAAAGAGAGATCTTCTAGCCACTGATTCACTCCCCAAATGGCCACATTGGCCAATGCTGGGCTGTTCTGAAGCCAGGAGTCAGAATCCTCTCCAGGTCTCCTCTGTAAGTGAAGGGTCTCAAGGCTTGGGGCCATTCTCCACTGCTTTACCAGGCCATAAGCAGGGAGCTGGATGAGAAGTGGAGCAGCCGGGACACAAACTGGCACCCATAAGAGATACTGGCATTGCATGTGGAGGATTAGCCTGTTGAGCCACTGTGTTGGCCTCTGGATTTTTGGGTTTTTTTCTT